GGAACATTCAGTGCTTTCAGCACCGCCCTCTGGCGGTCATCCGGGATGCATAGAACCGTAGTTACATACGTAACTTTCGATTTATTGCTTGTGTTCACTGAAAAATACATGAGAAGAAGACATTGAAAAAATAATCACATATTAAATCATAATCGCAATATTGAGGTAAAATAAGTTGCAATTAGAATATTTTACAAAATCGTTCAGCCCTAGTCTGCGATGAAGTCAAAGTCAAAGCAGCCTGCTCCTCAGATAGATAATGTTAACTTATTTATATATATGAATGTTTCTGTTCAGTGCCATGAGACGACTTCTGTTGTGACTTGGTGCTATATAAATAAACTGAATTGAATTGATGACATGCCGAATGGTTCCTCTCCTCTTTAGTGCACAGTGATGGCGGGTCATGGGCATCAGTGACCCCCATGACCCGAAAAAGGAAGAAGTGGGTAAAGATAATGGATGGATGGACGTTGATAACACGTCCGATGGTCCCTGTCTTATTTAATTCAATTCAATTTGATTCAGTTTATTTATCTAGCACCAAGTCACAACAGAAGTCGTCTCGGCACTGAACAGAAACATTCATATATAAAAAGAATACGGTAACAAAAACGTTCATAAAAATAATAATTTTACGCTATTTATCTGAAGAGCAGACAGAGGACGTTGATAACGTGTCAGACGAAGACGGAGCATTTTTTTCCAGACTGGTGAACCTCTACCCATCTTTACTTCTGAGAGATTCAGTCTTTCTAAAATACTTCATCTATATACCCAGTCCTCTTACTGACCTGTTGACAATTAACCTAATTAATTACTAAATGCTCCTCCAGCTGTTTCTCATTCAATATTTTTAGTCTTTTGTTGCCCATGTCTCATTTAAAAGATGTATTGTTACAATAAGAATCAAAGTTACCTTTATTTTGTTTAATTTTTTTAAGTCGTACAATTGCTTAGTTTCAGAATTTTCAATGTTTACTATGTCCATTTGGAAAAAAACAGGTTTATGAGATTTGAAACGCATTGCACTGTTTTCATTAACCTTTGGGGTTGTCGATGCTGAAGTGGGTGACTGAAAGTGTTTACTGAAAACTATTTGAACTAGATGAAATGAATTAAAAGTTGTTTTTTTATCAGTAATTGTTACATTGATAAAAATGTCTTCTGCAGAGAAACAAATAAAGAACAGATTAATGCCTAACATTCAACCTAAAAATATTTATCCACCGTCACAGGATTAAATGTTCACAAACACCAATTTCACATAAAGCTGAAAGGATGTTAGAATGAACAAGATGTGTTGGCCCTGACCTCTTTCAATGGGTTCAAACTCCTTCTCCTCTCCAGTCATTCTGGGGATGCGAGTGCACGGTTCCTTCACACTCGTGCACACAGCGTACACCTGAAAGCAACAATACAGAAAGCCTTCACATCAAAGAGTAATACCTTCTTTTTTCCCTCCTGTTGCAGTAAGAAAACTTCAAGGCCAGGAGCCTTTCATCTGAATCGTTTCAAAAGAAGCTCATCTTTGAGCCTTTATGCTGCAGATTGTTACATAAGAGGAGCCAGGAGAAGGAGTCAGGTGTTGAGTTTGTATAATTGGCTGCTGAGAGCTTTACCTTGGATTCAACATGGTAGGAGACATAGTGCACGGTGCACCTCAGTGGAATTTTTCTCACAGGCCATGGGGCATCATAAGACAGGTAGGTGGGTAGAACGCTAATCCTTAGCTCACCCTGTGGGAGAGCACAGACACTGAGCAAGAAGCTTCAAGCAAAACTAAATAAATAGATAAGCGTGCATATCGCCAAAGAAGAGCACAGCACTCCAACATTCATTAACTGATCTTAGGAGCTCTATGGAACATCTATGATTGTCCATCCTGGTTTGATTAAAAGATGAAGCTACTGTTAGTCTGAAACTGTTTGAAATGTCTCAAAAGTCACGTGATTTGAAAAATGGTTTATATTCAGTGTGCCGATGCCAAAGCACTGAAGCACAATTAAAAGAGTCCATTTCCATCATGATTTACATCTCCTCTCACAAGTTTGGATAAACCTTAACAAAGAACAATGTGCTGTGTGACTGGAATAATATATCAAGACTTGGGGCTCAAAAACGTGACAATTGGAACTTCTCACCAACATAATGATATCGGCTAAATGAAAGAGAAAGCCCAGCCTTATTCAGAAACATCATTCAGTGTTACAATGGTAACAAAGGTTAGACTGGTTTATATGACTGAACTGGCTTTCTGCTACCTGATTTTCAAATGTTGAACTTGGATTCATCTAAAACCTTTTTGTCCCCACACTTCTTAAACAGTTCATTCATCAAAGTGTCTGTGTTTTTGTCTTCTTTTCACCTGGTGTGTTGCTCGCTGCTATAGCACTTGAGTTTTTCTAAATCATCTCTTTGGATGTGCCGTGTGCACATCCAAACTCTTATCAACTTCCACTGTGTCCAAGCCTTGATGTTTTTCTTCAAAACTGGAGTTGAAGGACGATTTTAAGTTGTCATACCTCTTACATAAAACAGTACAGATGTAAAGATCCACATGTCACATATGGTACATGACACATGTGGTATATAGCACATGTGGTACGGTACATGTGGTACATGTCACATGTGATACAAGTCGCATGTGGTACATGTCGCATGTGATACATGTCGCATGTGGTACATTTCACATGTGGTACATGGCACATGTATTACATGGCACATGTGGTGCATGTCACGTGTTACATGTGGTACATGTGGTGCATGTCACATGTGGTGCATGTTACGTGATCTGTCACATCGGGTCACTAGCGCACAGCTAAGAAGTGTGTCTGTCTCTCCGACACCCCCCCCCCCCCCCCCCCCCAAAAAAAAAAAAACAAACCTCAACAACAACTCAACAACTGTCGGTTCAGACAGCGCGTGGCTGAGATGCGTCTCTGTCTCTCTCCTCTCACACACCCTATTCTTCAACTGTCTATGCAAACAGCGTGGAGCTCACTCTGTGTCCCCCCCCCCCCCCAAAACTGTTGGTTTAAACAGTGTGCTGCGCAGCTTAGGACGTGTCTCCATCCGTCCGTCACCCCCCCCCCACACACACACACACACAAAAATCACAGACAAGATGAGCGCCCAGCCATGGCAAGTTATCTAGGGGAAACACTGCTAACAGGACCATGCTGCTAACACGCTGCTAACAGAACCACACTGCTAAAAGTACTATGCTGCTAAGAGTACTATGCTGCTAACAGGGCCACACTGCTAACAGTACCATGCTGCTAACAGTACCATGCTGCTAACAGGACCACAATGCTAACAAGACCACACTGCTAACAATAAGCTATCACACTGCTAACAATACCACGCTGCTAACAGGACCACACTGCAAACAGGACCACTCTGCCAACAGAATCACACTGCTAATATAACCACACTGCCAATAGGACCATGTTGCTAACAGAACCACACTGCTAACAGTACTATGCTGCTAACAGTACCATGCTGCTAACAGCACCATTCTGCTAACAGAACCACACTGCTAACAGTACCATGCTGCTAACGGTACCATGCTGCTAACGGCACCATTCTGCTAACAGAACCACACTGCTAACAGTACCACATTGCTAACAGTACCACATTGCTAA